TGAAACTCTGCAGGCGTTGGGTGGTGCAACAGGACAATGAGCCAAAACATCGGAGCAAGCCCACAACAGAATGGCTTCAGAAAAACAAAATCCGCATTTTGGAGTGGGCAAGTCAGAGCCCAGACCTCAACCCAAGAGAGATGCTACAGAATAACTTGAGAGCCGTACACAGGAAATGTCCAGAGAGTATGACAGAGCTAAAGCAGTTCTGCCGAGAATAAGGGGCTAAAATCCCTCCTGAATGATGTGCAGCTCTGATCCACAGCTACAGGAAGCGCCGGCCTGAGGTTGTTGCTGCCAAGGGGGTGGGTCAAGCAGTTATTGATTCCAAGGGTTCGCTTACTTTTTCCACCAGCATTTTGAATGTTGAATAACTGTGTTCAATAAAGACATGGAAGATCAGAATTGGGCTTGTGTTATTATTTTAGGCACGTTATATTTGTCAATATTCTTGACTTAGATGACGGTTAGATCACATTTTATGACAAATTAATGGAGAACACCATGAAATTCCAAAAGGTTCACATACCTTTTCCTAAAACTGTGGATGTTTAGTTCACCACAACTTCTGCCTGGCATAAACTTAAAGCAGTCGTTTGAGATTAATAAATAGTCAGCTGTAAAGACATCATATAGACTAACCATAGGGAACATAACTTCCTATAAGACTTTATAACGGTGTAGATTTCCAATATAATTTGTAATTTTCAATGAGTTAAGATAATGATTTTTGCATTCAAACTTGACAGCTCAGCAGCTAAGACCCCTAACAAGAGAAAAGCATAGTCTGGATGTTCTGTCTGATCTGGACAAGGTCTTTAAGTGGAGACTGATATTAGTGGCCTGTTGCCTGATTATTTGACAAAGTGGCTTCTCGGCAGCAAAACAATGACATCATTCAAAATCAGAATTCTCTTGAAGTGAATTAAACATTACTTGTCCAACTTACTGTCTCATAACTAGACTATAATCCTCTACCTATCTCTCTATCTGGGCTTGTAAGAAACTGTAGCTGTTCCTGAGGCATTATGTGCCTGGTAGTATATTTGCTTTTCTTCAGTTCTTGGTCCTGTAATCACTACTTCTCTTATATAACTGTGTTCTCTATTTGGTTCATGTTCCATTCTAGTAAAAGGTCATAAAATTGCTCCTTTTGAAACCAGAACAAACATTATTCTTGGAGATGTGCACTTCTCCCTCTTATTCTGTGTTTCATTTTTAACCTGAAGCAAGCTGCTTAGTTACTTCTAGAGGAGCTTGCAGCTATTTGGTCATTAGGAAAGTGCAGTGTCTGAAACTGTTTCAAAAACTGAAGACTGAAGAGTCAGTAAGAAGGTAGTTCCTCACCCTGAAATTCTCCAGCATATTTCCCCAATGGCAGAAGTCTTGTTCATTTTGCTGTTGAATGGCATGAACCAAGATCAGCTTCTAATGTAGCCCTTATCGTGCAGCAGTTCTCAACGTCGACTAGCTCAAGGGAAATGATACTGAGAAAAGAATATCTTATGGGAAACAATACTTTGAGAACCAAGATGAATAGAGAAAGTGGGGTGTTTTTTGTCATGTGGTTGGGTTTTTATGGTGGTTTTCTTGGATTTTTTAAGGTCTGATTGTGTTTTCTGCAAGTTATGATTTGGAGGACCGGCACTCTGGCATTCTGCTTTTGAGATGCTCAAAGGTAAGTGAAGTCTTACAAGAAGCAAAACACATGTATAATCAGAAAGTTGTCAAACACAACTTTATATAAATTCACAAAATGTGCAGATGCATTGAAATAAGGCCAAATTTGAGGGAGATTTTCTGAAAAAACGTAACAAAACCAATTTTTCCTCAAGTTGTTAACGATGTAATTGTCAAGAAACTTCGCAGAACATAAATCTTTCGCAAATTCTCCCCACATCAGCATAAAATATCACTGTTCTGTTTTTCTACTCATAGTAATTATTTCCTGATACCTTGTATTTTTTGATCTTCCTGGAAGAACATACACCTCAAATGTACAACATTCCCAAACTTTAATTCCTATAGTTTTGGTGAACTGAAAACTGCAACTTCTTTGAAGGTTGTCCTTTAATTTGGTGAATTTAAGGAATACCACACAGCACAGAAAACCTTTTGATTTACCCAGGTATCAGTTTTAAAAAGAGCTGGTTATATGTTCAGCCTACCTGCACTCATAGCTAGTTGCCAATCCAGTTTTCTTGCCACAAAGAAAGCAATGCTTTGTAATTTTCTTTTTTGCTTGAATTGAGCCATTCAGAGGTGGAAGATGGGTTGCTTCACCTGCTTTCAGAGATAGAAAGACAGAAAAGACATTTTATTTTTATTTATTCCTGATCACAAACTAGATAAATATTATCTTTTGAAACTCAGATTAATTTTGCATTTCTTAGGATACTTCAGGCAGGAACCTCAAAGCCTAAACACAGAGGAAAAAAACCCAAAAGCCAAAACAGAAAACACACCTCAAGTCTATGAACACCTTTGGAAGAAGGAGCACAATGTGAGACTTAGCCCCAATATTTTTAACACCTCTTAAAAATTCACACAGGCAAGAAGTTACAGAAGAAATCAAGAAACACAATTCCTAATGGTCTTCCCAAATGCAAAATGAAAACGAGAACACATCACGTGGTTGGGAGAGCACGGCACACATTGGCTTTCCAGAGAATCAACCGGGCATTCGAGTACTTGGCACCTTGCATACGACCACCTAGTAGCTGGTAACTCGCTTGCCAAATAAACACTGCCACATTGTAAAATCTTGCTGGTACTCCATAATTGCAAGAAAAGTACATTATTAGACGTTATATACGGTTTCATAAGGCACTTCAGAGACATTTGTAAAACTTTTGTACTTAAAAATTTACTTTGAGTTTTTGCCCTGTAACTATTGGCTGTTGCTTTATGAAGTGGAGAGCATGCAAAGAAAAGGCATCTTCCTTCCCTCTGTAGAAGCAAGCTCCTAGCCCACAACCTGCTTATGCGAATTTACCATACGACAGGACCGTGAAAGCGAGCAATGCATCCTCTCGCTCTTTCAGTGCTTCAGCTGCTATACTGTCAGGGTTCTGCCAAAAAGCGACCTCCCCGAGTTCAAAAGTACTTTTTATCCAGTGCACCTTTAATCCCAACAGTCACTTCCCAGCTGAGATACAACGGGCTACACTCAATAGTAATACCAGATGGTCACTACACTTCGCAGTCACCACTACTAACCAGCACTATTCCACTGCTATCTAGCATCGAAACTTCCAGGCCATGTTTGTCCATGCTTTCAATTTCATCATCTAAAAAAGTCCAGTTTGTGAAAAAGAGCTCAAAACCAGCCCTCTCTCTGAACCACCCCACTTGGACAGAGAAAACAATACACCCATCCTCACAGTTATGGTCCCTACAGCCATTACACGCAAACTGAACCTGTCCTTTGGGCAGCTACACAGCAGATCATCACCAGCCACCTCTCTCTCAAGAGCCTGCACAATATGCCCACACCAACTCTGTCTTTCTCATGTCTGGAACCTTCTGGAAAATACAGTTTTGTCCGACAAAGGAATACACCAGAGGAACGTTGTCTCCACCGTTCTATCTAAAACACCACAGATGACAGAATGCTTCCTCGCCATGCAGCCGTGGCTATGAGGGATCACCTTTTTGCCACAGAGTAGGTAAGGACACACCTATTTATTAATCGACTGCCAAGTCAAAGCTGCACCCTCAGTTGCGAAACAAATGCAAAACCTACTATTTTAGCAGCTTTTGCTCCCACATAGTTACAATTACATCGTTTTTTTCTATTGCAGCTGCTATTTGAAAAATCTATCTGCTATCTCATTCTTTGTATCTAGATCCTAAAATCCTGGAATACGTGCCCACCTCTCTTTTCCCATAGGCATACAGAAAGAAAACCTGCAAACTGCAAGTCAAAGATGTGAAGAGGAAAAGTTAATTGCGCTAAGAATCTTTAACTCACTGTCTTAGAGAGTTTTAAAAGTATTAATCTAGACAATTGTCCCAAGATACTTAAACACATAAGAAATTAATATTTAGGCACAATGCATCCATCTTCAGTAGATGCCAAGCATTGAGCACTCCGCAGTTACCAAGACTATGGTGGAAAGGATGGTGTCCACCACAAAATACAGAGAAAATTCTGCACTTTATCAATAATCTTCAACATCCATGCCCTTATTACTCCCTCCCCACTTTTCTTTTGCCAAATTCTTCTGCCTCAGGCTGTAGTCCTAAAGACAGTGCTACCGATAAATTTGCCTCTGATTTTAGTATACTCAGAAATATTCAAAGAACCGACCTTTTGGAAACTGCAGACCAAAAAGTCATGTTTATGTCTACAGATGATAAACAGGATTAGTTTAGTATTAAAAAAAAAAACAGGAAAGACTCACAGTTATATCTGCCTAAGATCTGGATGATATCTGGATGTTAAAGAATTGCCTAAAATATTAAAAATTATACCATGATGTAGAAGTGTAATACAGCAAGGACTTTGAAAGCCACAGGCCTTATAAAAAATTCTTGTCCTTTATATATGTGTTATAACAGGAAAGATTAAGGAGTCATCTTCAATTATTATTGAAGCCACATTACTTACCTACTCTTTTCCCTACGGCTGCAATACTTACATTCATTCCAAGCACATGTGCAGACTAAAAAAAAAAAATTTCCACAAGGAAATTACTAGCAGATGAAAATTAAATGAAAAGTTAGGCAGTGCGGTATCAGTTTATATGTCATCAATGTGTTATCAATCAATGTACCTACAAAGAGTCCAAGATGACTTCTGCACACAAAATTAAAATTCTGCAATATAAAGCCCTACTCAAAGTGACTAGTTAACAGTGTCCCTACACTTCCCAACACACCAAAACAGATCTGAATCTAGGCACATATGGTGCCAGTCATAGGGCAAACTTTGGAATAAATGACAATTAGCAAGCAGCAGGAGAAATTATGTGACACTTTAAACACAGACACTCATAACAGTATCATAACAACAACCAGTCATTTTAGTCGTGAACTGAATAAGCATTTCAATTTTTGTGAAAAATTACTTCTAGGATCTGTTTATTTAAGATACCAACAGGAATTCAGAAAATAGTTTAAGACTATTAGGGATTTAAATACAACTCCCCCTCCCCATGTGCCTTCCCTGAAAAGGACAGAGACATGCACATGAAAGTACAGTTTTCATAAAGCCAGTAACAGAAAAGACAGGAAAACTTCACAGTCTTTGGAAACGTTAGTACTCACTAGAATATATTCAGCAGCTTCATTTGGAGGAGCAGTTTTCCTAAAGCTTTCTTCCTGGAAATACTGCAGGTTTGTAGGTAGTACAATACCAGAAGTCCGAAACCTGCCTGTCGCACAGGAACTCTGTAAACCTTCCCTGTCTGTGCTTCGGGCCAGCGAAGCCAGAAATCCTAGGTTACTTACAGAACTCACAGGTTCTTTGGATGCCTTGCTAGCCACATCTGTGATGTCTCCAGCTTCTGCTTTAGAAATTACATCAGGTCTTTTGCCAAGCGACTCTACTTTCACACTACGAAGCCTAGTAGTCCTAGAAAAAGAGGAGTCTGCTATACTACGGACCTCTAACGAGCGAAGTATGCTTGGGGAGGCTGTAGATCTCAAGTTACCAGCCTCAAAGCATTTGGGTTGTGCTTGTGGTTTGAGAGAGCTGTGACGTGCCACTTGCGCTGAATACCGAAGAGGTGACAAGAGCAGATTTTTCTGAGGACTTAATTCACGAGTACTGAGAAGACCAGCCCCCATTCCTGCAGTGCTCAGCACTTTGCTAAGGGGTTTTCTATGCTGCTCTAAAACCTTAGATTCCTCATCTCCATCAGACAGTTCAGGTTCTGGGTTCACCTTTCCTATGTCATATATCTCATTGCTCTGCTCAGCGGTGCTTGTTTCTGTTAACAAAGCAAAAGCATCTGCATCAGGTAGAAGTTTTTCTTCTGCTCCAAACAGTTCTACATTTGTTAGACTTGGAAACAAAACAGCATCCTCCTCACTTGGTGATGTCACGTTTTCAGGTACTTTTTCAGAATTTGAAGGCAGAGATGAAACAGGAGTCAGAATATTATTTGTAGGTAGTTTTGTGTTTTCTAGTTCAACACGAGATATTTTCGGTGGTAACCTGATGCTACTAACTGACTGAGACCAAGAGTTGCTCTGCCAAGTGTCATCTTCCTTAAGAAAGTCATTAGTTGTGGATGGCATTGTTCTGCCAGCAGTGGCCAAAGTAGTCAATGCTGAAAGTGCGTTTTGGGAAGACTCCGAGTGATATGAATTCCCAGGAGGAGGTAGGCAGGACTGTCCGATATGTGGGAGAACTCTTAAAAAACGGTGACGAGCAGCAGCCACTGAGCCACTAGATGGTCGAGGAGCCATTGGAGGACGAGGTTTCACCTTGACGGTTTTCTTAGGCTATTAAAAAACCCACATACAACAACATTAGTATTCAAATTATGGTTGCATTCAAAGCCCTGACTGAGATCATATCATCAGGAAGTCACAGAGTATAAGGCCAGAAGGGACCAAATCTTTCTTCCTACTCCTTCATCTATTATTAGCCATCAAGACTTCACCCCAACATCTGAATAAAAAAATATTTTAAACAGAAAATACTTTTTAGTAAATAGGCCACATATTGGGAGAACAGAAGGGGAAGCCAGAATGCCATCAAAGTTATCCAGAAGAGCTTAGGGTCTCAAGCAAGATAATGAAATCTTAATTTTACATCTAGGTAACCTAGACAGATATGAATGTCAATGTAATATGTTATTTCCTAGGTAATTTACAGGCTTTTCAGTTACAGCATTTCTAATGAATTTTCATTTAAGCCAAACATTGATTTTTCCCAGAGCAGCACTGCAAAATAACACTACTTAAAGTATCGTAAGAAAAACAAAACAAAAAAACCCCCCACCAACCCAAAAAATCCACATACCCCAAAACCCCATCCACCATGCAAATAATTCCAGGACCAGTAGAGAATTTTTTGAATGTGGGCAGGGCAGATCCAAGCAAAGCCAATGTCCCACAGCAGAACATTTATACAACAGCATTTACTTAAGCACCAGATGAGAAAACGTCTACTTTTCATCACTCTCAAGACAGCAAAGGACGTGACCTGCTTTTCTAAAAAGCCAGCACGAAGGAATTGCAAGCCGTTTTATGATAGAAACATCAACTTCACCTTTTTACTCAGATTCATGTTCTCCATCTTTGCCTTGAGCAGTTTCATTTTGTTCATAGTAATCGAGTTCTCAATAATCTGTTGACCAGAAGGTGATGCCTCTGTCTCGTCTTCATCATCAGCATATAAATTATAAACTGAACCACCACTGAAAATAAAAGAAAGGTTGTGTTCACCTTCTCATCCAGTAATTTAATTATGTTTTCAATGTAGAGTATTCTCACAACTAGAAAGTCATATCCGTAGTTGATCTGTTGACAAAGCATTATGTAAAACCATATGCGAAGACATTTCAAACCCCTTTATTTTAGCATATAAGCATTCCTTATGAGGTGCTCACACAAAGTGATGACGCTGAAATCCGAACATAGCCACGCTTCTGGTAAGTTGTTATACCATATACAGTTGGTTCACACTCACTATATATTTCCCCCACAGAGGGGATATCCAGTTCCACAAATGTCTCCTGAGGTAAGGCCAAAGCTGTTAACTGTGCGACTCAGACAACAAGCTGATCAGTTTTCCAATTAACCAGACACTGGCATGGAAGGAAAGTCCAAATTTCTATCCATCCTGAGGGGTGTTCTCACCATAAATGGAAATGGAGGGGTCACCCATGTGGATATGATACTCTATTTCTCCTTTTCAAAATAAAAAAATAAAAATAAAAAAAAAGGATCAGTTTAGGTTCCCAGAGTCTCACATTTGGAAAAAAACAAACAGATTAGAATTGCTAGTCTCAAGACAAAATATTTCAACTCAGTAGCCATTGGAAATTTATAGTATCACATTGCCTTTTTCCATTCTGCGTTCTAACAGACTGCAAAAACTAAACGTTTTAAACTCGGTACCTGATTCATTTTTCCTATGAAGCAACGAAGCACTAATCACAAACACATATCCAACATTTGACAATAAAATGAAAGAAGCATTAGGAGTGTCTAATTCATTACAAATGAACGTATTTTCAACACTGTATATAGTGCTGTCAGCATCTAGACATTGTGGCAATCAGGTCAATCCCCTGTGCTCATACAAATGTCTTAGCAGATTTAACTAAAGTTCCTACTCCTCAAAAGAGACCAAGGAAGAACTAAAGGCTGTGAGAAAGGTCAGTACCAAATCCAAACAAATATCCGCTAATTAGAGCTGGCATCTTACCTGATTTTTGGAAATATTCTGCTGCCCTTAGTCAAGACTCACTATTTTTGCACTGACTCTCCAAATCCATTTCCTAAAATGTAGCAAAACTCTGAAGGCAGCACAGGTGGGAGACAAAACTTTGAGGGCAAGCTAGCAGCAAATTCAAAGCAAGAATCAGCAAAATAGTCCAGTCATTTCTTAACCAAAAACTGAACAGCTCCACATGGGGCAGCCAGCATGCATACCACACAGCGCTCCTGCTGAAAAGTCAACATTAAAGAATTATTTCAAAATTTTAACTGCAAAGACTTAAGTCACCAACTCAAAACCATTCTTTGAACCTTGCTTCCTTCAAGGTAAGGACAGAAAGAAAAGTAACATGTCTCAGAAGTTTGATTAGGTATTTTACACAAAAAAAAATTGTCCTTTTTATTGAATTTTCTGGCAAAACAGGAGCCAAAACCACTAAAAAAAGGAGAGGAGTAGCAAACGGATTTTTTTCTTTTAATGTGACCGTAAAATTATAGAAGTTATACAGGAAGCTTTGTTCTGGATGATACTTTTAGCCCATTTTCCAATGAGTAAATTTCAGATTTACTTTGTCCATAAGTGTCAACATTCCTGAGCTCCTGCTTGTCAAATGCATGCCTCCAAAATGATCAATAGCTTGCTGAACACCAATGCCTGCCAGTCCTCTACCACAACTTCAACCATTTCCTTTTAATCAAGAGACAATAATCACTGTATGCATTTAGACCTTGTGAAGTTTTAGCCATTAACTTAACCACAGATAAAATTATCAGAACTATAAACCAAAATACAAACCAATGTTACACTTTGAAATTGCAGTCACTGACTTCTGCTCCACACACAAGCAATGTTGAGAAAAGCTGATAAACAAGGGCCTCAGGATGCTGTCACGAGTATACTCACACAAACAACATTTAACTATCAGCATGGAAAAGACTGGAATTCGGAGTCTTCCTCTATAAAGATAAATGAAAACCTCTGGTTTGTTTCCATTCTCTCTTCCTTTCCTACTTTTTTCATTTCCCACAAAGTCTGACCCAGCCACAGTAACAAATTCAAAAATTTGAATTTTTCTCTCCCTCCACAAATTATTGTCTGCCTCAGTAGAAAAATTAATAGATGGATTCCCATAGAAAGCACAGAGGAAGAGAAACAACGCGAGCTGAATGCTTTCAACTCAGGTGGTTCCCAGCCTAACCGGATCATTTGACCCATGACAGCACATTTCTTAAGCATAATGCATTTGACTTTTATAGATGCTGTTGTGCTTTGAAAGGCTCACCAAGGTGCCCTGCCAGAGCCAAAAGAGTGTGGTCTACAGTTTGCTACATTTAGCCAATCTCAAGTGAATTACTATTTAATCTATACACTAGGATCACCTAATTGAACTATCTAGTGCTAGGTATAAATGGAAAACAAAAAAAGTTGTCACATCCACAAGAATTTGGACACGTAGGCAGATACCAGGGAGCTCATTATAATGAAAAATGAAAATTTCAAGCTCCTTCTGACAATTCCTTGCATCGACTCACAGTATAGCATAGGATGGCCTTTAGAGATAAAAGGTTCACAGGGACAGTTTGGTAAGAGGCAGGGTATCGGTGAGAACAGGGGTTACACCTGCCTGCTCCTCTTTCCAGAAGTGTATTTAACCCAGTGCAGCATCAAGGTTCTCAGTTCTTACCGATGATGGTGGGTTTTACCTGTTTCAAATGCACACACAATAGAGTATGTGGCTGTTTGCTGAAAACGAGTGCAGGGGCTGAAAGATAAGACCACAGATCTAAAACATTTGAGTATGTCCTCTTCTTTCCCTCCAGTAATTGTATATCAAATGCTCTTTCTACTCTGTGTAATGATGTGGAAACTCAACCCTGATATTTCAATTCAGCCTGTAGTTTTTAAGCATACATCTCTTATATGTTGCAGGTTTATAAGAGTAGTATCAATGAATATGAAACACACTGATCCACACAAAATAAACTCATACAAAATTCTTGCTTTCACTTTGCAAACAGGAACAGGAATACTTAAAAACAGTGCAAGCCCTGGAGAAAATGCAGCTCCCAGAATAGGGACTCTTTTCCTTGCAGTACAAATATTAAGCCCTTCAGGGAATAAAAAAACCCCACAAATCCACTCAAAAAGCTGCAGTTTAATGACAGAATCTAGTAATTTTAATAGATACTGGAATTTTTGATAGCTTTAGGAAAAAGACTACTAATTTGTTTCCTACTCTGTAGTAGCTTAAGTGACATACGTGCTCTTTTGCTTGATAATTATACTTTGATTCTGTGATAGTGATTGGGACAGTTTTGGGCACCTCAACAGTAGCTAATCTGAAGCCTAATTATGTCCAAAGGCTAGCTGCACTGATAATTATTTCAGTATACTAAAAACAAAAAAACCCCAAACACACACACACAAGACATCAAAAAGTAATCAAAACAACCCCACCAAACCCCCCAAAACAAACAAAGAAAACCCTCATCACACCACAAAACAAAGCAAAAAAAAAACAAAACAAAACAAAAAATTCTCACCCCCCCCAGTTTCTCTAAAACCTCAAACGCCCTCAGGCTTCTGCACTATTATCTTCCTGACTCATCATTTGGTCAAGTCACCTCTATACTAAAAAAAGTTTATGCTGTGAACAGAGAAACGTTTATAGAACTAAATAAGTGTCTTAAGATGGAAAAGAAAGTACTTCGCAAAAGTTTTTAATATCTTCATTGCCATATCGACCCTCCTGTGAAATGCTCCCTTTTAGAAAGAGTTGGAACGTTGAGAACTGCCTTAAGCATGAGGTCAGCTTTTTTTCCCCTCTGTTGAAAAACAACCACCAGTGTGATAGGACACATACTACTGTGGTGTTAGGCCACCAGCTACGACATTTTAGTAGCCCTCAGGGCACAATTCTTGCAATATTGCAGAGATAGTCCAGATGCCTTTTTTGATAAAGTCAGCAAATAAACCCGACACATTACATAGCATCCCCCTTTTGAAGAATAATATAAAGATTAAAGCCAACTTTACCTCAAAGATTCTGATAATGGTGTTAAAGTGCCATCTCCCCTGTCTACCACACGAAAGAAATTCAACTGATCTCCTTCTCGATATACTAAGAAGGTAACTTGTTTGTTGGATGGCCCTTTCTCCCAGATCTCATCTCTTGTGGGATCCATGTACTCAGCCATTTCCCTTACAGGGTCTTCCACGGGAACTGCAAAGAGAAGAAATCAGAATAAATCTAAATTCTTATATTGTATTATTATTGATCATGTTTGAGAGCTCAGCTCAGTTTGCAACAGAAATTCCCAACGTAGAAAACGTGGAATTTTTTCCAAGTGAAAATTATCGAGGAGATTTCTCCATTCATTCATATCAGACTGAACTTACACCTGTTTTTTACAAACCAGATTTTAAAATCTCTTTGTATAATGGCATTACGGGATCATTTTTTTCTGCAGGTGAAGAACTGCTGATTTTAAGACCTGATGATTCTACATATAAAAAGATACTTGTTAAACTAAGGGTAAACAAAATGAAAAAGATGGTGCACTTGGTATGCTAAGGAAGAAATACGGAAAAAAATACCTACATTTTTGTTGAGCGCTGTTCCAGCTAAACTGGCACTGAAGTTCGCTTATCTAAAATGCTTAGCTAAGAGAACCTGTTCACAGTTATAAGATGTTGCATGAAATACACTGTTTTTAAGTGAGTTAACACCTACCTCTTCTAGTGTTAATAGGGCCACCTCGCATCGCCAGAACTAACTTCAGAGTGCAGCCTTCTGAAATGCTGTAAAAAAATCAATAAATAAAATATTTTAGTATTTCCTATTGCTTATGCTAACAATAATTTAGAAACATTAGCTGAAATGTTATTCTATACTTACTTATAATCATTCAAACAATAGTCATCCTTCAATTCCGTATTATTCCAAATTAAGTGCTGCTGTGAGACAGGAATACCTAAAACAAACAAAAAAACTATTAAAATTGAAGCTTGGTGGGAGGGCTTTGGGAGAATTTTGCTTTTTGAAGAACGTGAGGGTAATGGCAAGAAAGAGGATCACAGGGGAAAGAAGAGGGGAAGCAGGACAAGGACAGGCACTTGAGCAGCCTTCAGTGAGGACATCCAACCTCCCAAATAGTTATTAAGAACAAAGAATTTTCAGCAGGCTTGTGCTGACACGCAGGGCTCAATTTTCTGAATCAGCAACGGGTTTGCGTATTAAAAATCCATATTCTACACACTGAATAACTTTGTTTCTTTCTGCTTAGATAGCCAACTCATTTAGATACAGATGTAATATGGTGGATAAAAAACCCAAGTGTGAGCCAGCAATGTGTGCCTGCAGCCCAGAAAGCCAGCTATATCCTGGGATGCATCAAGAGAAGTGTGGCCAGCAGGTCAAGGGAGGCGATTCTGCCCTTCTTCTCTGCTTTTGTGAGATCCCCCCTGCAGTACTGCGTTCAGCTTTGGCTCCCCCAACATAAAAAAGGACACAGATCTGTTGGAGAATGTCTAAAGGAGAATCACAAAGATGATCAGGGGCTGGAGCACCTCCCTTATGAGGACAGGCTGAGAGAGTTGGGGCTGTTCAGCCTGGAGAAGAGAAGGCTCTGGGGAGACCTTATAGCAGCCTGCCAGTACTTAAAGGGGGCTTCAGGAAAAGGGGAGGGACTCTTTATCAGGAAGCGCAGCGAGAAGAAAAGAGGTAACAGTTTCAAACTGAGAGTAGATTTAGATTAGATATTAGGAAGAATTTTTTTTCTGTGAAGGTGGTGAGACACTGGAACTGGTTGTGGAGAGAAGCTGTGGACACTCCCTCCCTGGAAGTGTTCAGCACTAGGCTGGATGGGGCTTTGAGTAACCTGGTCTAATGGAAGGTGTCCCCACAGGGGAGAATGGAATTAGACGATCTTTAAGATCCCTTCCAACTCAAACCATTCTATGATTTTATAACACGCATTAAAGATAATAACCATAAGCTAGTACAGCCTGAGGTCTTCACAGACTTTTACCAAAATATTGCCATTCTGGATGAAATACAAACCAGGACAGTCATGAAAGGATGAAACATGTCAGGCAGGAAAAAAAAAAAAAAAAAGGCTAGTAGGAAGATGAATAGCTGTCTTTTTTCCTTTGGAAAAACAAAAGCTAAAAAAACCCAACACCCCATCACTTGCTCTCCAGCATAAAAAAAGAAGTACCATTGTTCAATTTGTCTAGTGAAACCCAGGTAGTTAAGATCTCACTGAGCATTCCTAATAAACTATAATTTAAATGAAAATCTAGAGAGACAAAAAACTTAACTTTTTAAAAAGCATCTAAACACTACTCAGTCTAGGCAGTAAAACCTATAAATTTATATTCCAAAAGGTTACCCTAAAATAATCTTATATTATACTTGGATTTATTGCATGTTCAGATATTTAAAAGGAGATGCAAGTAGCAATGCTACACAGCAAGGCCTCCCAAAATACATACGGCGAGAGTGGAACGCAAAGATCTGAATCAGACAGGACAGAGCTTCCAAAACCATCTCAGCTTCCCAAGGCTTGCAAGAGTGCTTAGCAAGCTGTGGCAAAAGGTCGGTCAGGTAGCCCCTTCCTAGCTGGAGAAAGGGCACCAAGCTACCAGCACCCATCACCAGCAAGGAAGAAAAAGGGACCAGATTCTGGTGAAAGTCCAAGCAGATTCAGCAGGCAAATAGGAGACGTCCCCATGCAGAAAGGGGATTGCTCTTTGCAGGAACAGTCATTGTTGTTATTTAAGTTTTAGAGAAGATGACAATTTCCTCTTCTCACAGAGCTTACATCCAGATCTTCCCTTCCACAAACAACCAACGCAACTTCACTTGGATGGTGTTTACCATGAAACTTGTAACCTCTGAAATCCATAACACATAATTGCTACTACACTGCCAGCTACTGAATAACTGGTTATGGGTTATGTTTCAAGTCTGCAGCATAAGCAAAACAAGCACAAGCCGGCAACAGACAAGCCTATAGCAAACTTCTTTTCTGTATTGTTTTGCGGTCTTCTGATTACAGTCATTACTGTCTGCATTTGTAATAGTTTCAGCGGCCTCCAAGGAGCAATTTCCAATTACTTTGATAAACTGAGAGTATTTGTTAAAAAGCCTGCCTTGCAACTGGTGGTACTGCAGTGAAGCATGTTTTTGCTCATTTAACAATGACAACATATTTCAATGATGAAATGAACAGATGAAAAGATTATATTCTGCTGTAATGGGAAACAGACAAGTCTTCATCACTAATTCCTTTTTATGTTGCTTTCTAAGAACTTTGCATTCATACACAGGAGGAAGAACGGTATGTGCTTCATAGGTTCAGGTGCAGTAAAATACGCATCAGCTGTCCCTTTTCTGGATTATAGCAAGGCTTTCTTGGGAGACATTCACACGTGGGATCAGCACATAAAATTGGCAACAATAACGAGTACTGCGAGATACTGACCCACTATCCCCTCTTCCAAAGCAAGCACGTGACTGTATCACTGGCCTGTTATAAACTGGTACCAAAAGAGGAGGTTAGACCATAAGCCACATCTCGATGCTCAGATGGAAGCGAGCCAGCCAGGTGATGCTACAGGAGGACAGCAGTCTGCACATTGCCTGTTGAAACGGCTGCAGATGTGCTGACAACCTGGCCTACTGAAACAGGCCGAGGAGAGAAGCAGGTACTCTGTCCTGTCTCTGAATCAGCACATCCCATACACCCTGAAGCTTCGCTGCTTTACTCTTCTTTCCAGAACGCTACGTAGGTTCACCAGACAAAGTGAGCTGGTCAAGTGTGACCCAGACAAAATCCACAAACCTAGAGGTTTCAGAACAAACTTGATTTTATGTTTCATGTAGAAGATTAGTATGTTTAAAAACACCCCTACATTTCAAAGTTGAAACACTGTACTTCCCTTTCATCTAATCTTGAAATTGCTGGAGAGATTCTTAAACATTTACTTTTTGTTGCTCCTTACAGCAAGGCTGGGCTGACAGTCTTATTTTCCCCCACCACAGAGCACCTACACTAGGAAAGAAGCACAAATGGTCACAACTTACAGCAGCAAGACCACAACTTATAGCAGCAGGACCGTTTTCTTAATTGTCCGACCCTCCAGCTTTCATTTGCATGATAGTAAGCCACCTTAGTGTAAATGGTTTTTTTTAAGTACTGACCTACTCTTTATCTTCAGGACTGACAGAGGGGACTGGAAAAATACCAAGTCAACAGTAACTGGATACAGGCTCACGAAATTTCCTGACAAAGGTGACCTAATTTACACCTTCCAGATGCTGCTCTAACCATCCGATCTGGGCACGGGTGTTTTCCCAGTGTAGAAAAGGCATAAGCCTGAAGAAAGCTGCATGAACTCCTAGTCTCTACCAGCACAGTGAACAGGCAAATGACAAAGGAATCAGGAGACATGGGGGGGAAAAGTAGTAGATGAAAGAAAAACGAGATTTGTTCAGTTAAAAACTCACTACACTTCTACAATCACCTCACTCCAGTCCTGAGAGAAGCATAGCTATTTTCTCTAACGCAAGTAGTAATAGATATCATTGCGACATACTCTGAATTCACAGAATATTGAAAAACATTACAACATCCAAACCAAATCTGTTTGATATTCACCCAGTTCCTTACACTTAAGGTGACACTGCTCTACATAGACAGAAAAATAACAAGAGCAAAAAGACCAAAGAAAAATAACAACGTCCATCATTAACAGTACACACATGTACAACAAAATTATTGTTGCATCTGCTGTTCCCTGTTGAAAACAAGCATTTCAAATTAAGATGTACTCTGAGAGCTGGATCTGTTTTTTCCCCTTTACAATAATACAAGAACAAGAGAATACCTGAATTTTCACCTAAAAAGGTAGATGTTTCCACATACACAGATTATAAAATTCATTTGCAAGCAGTCACTGGAGAAACCATGACTCATTTTTTCTTTATTTTAAAGCTAGCTACATAAATGAAGGCCTTAACACTACATACTGTAGAATGCAAATTAACTCCTGCAAAGAAAAAAAAAAAAGGAATAAAAATACCATTAACAACAACGAATCCCAAAGCCCACCTCATCCCTTGAGACTCAATTCTATCTTACTGAACAAACACATTTACAGGTATTATCTATGGTTCTTTAACAGATGAAAGAATTAATCGCTACTAAGAGTATGTTATCTGAATGTTCCTTCTATAAAATCCAATTTAATGATTTGTTTTTTAAAATGAAGAATACTAAACTTTGTCCAGTTCAGCAGCTACAAAGACTTGTGCAACGATGGAAGCAAGAAGAGATCCCCTAAGTTTAAAAAAAAACCCAAAAGCTATTTCATTTTTAATGAAATCCTGCTGGGTTTAAGTACCATTCATGTATTAAGGCTCAATCATTCATGTCTTCTTGAAACTCGGGTACCATTCTATCCATGTCCATCAACACATGATCCTGCTTTCAATTACAAATAATCAACAACAAGTAAAAGCAACGGAGTAGATGGCAAAGCTGGCAACACTATGCTACGCTGCTGGCTGTATGCCACCAGCAGAGACAAAGGGAGCTATTTCTGCTTGAGTGTACCATTTGAAAAGGTTCATTCAATGAATCTGAGACCAGCGGCAATTTACCCTAGGTGGCTCCAAAATCAACACTATAACAAATCTAAATTTCTCAATACCGAGTTCTTATTTTGCATGGAACGTACTTGAGGACAAATGTCTGCATCTGATCCAAACACGTATCAGATCTGCTTTAATGAGCAGACTTGCACTGAAATTTCAGATGCATTAGAAGCCATTAACAAATTTTTACCCATATTCTTCACTGACTGAAATCAACTAGAAACAGAAAGCTGGAGATCTGGAGCTCTTAGTAAGGGACCAACATCTACTACAGCTGTCTAAACAAACCCTTTCCATATCAGATCACTAAACAGGCACCAAGAATGAGAAACAGTACCAGAAGTATACAAAATTCCTAACATGCCATCCATATTATCCTTTCTTGTAACAGTACAAGCAGTCTACAGTTATTGATATTCCATTTGTTGACAAAGATCAGTTCATCTTGATTTAGTTTTATTATTAGCCTGTAACAATTCAAGGCATCAGTGACATTTAAACAAATTTGTTACCTTCTGATACGCTTTTAGATTTTGCTCTTGGAGGTCTCAGGTCATTTTCCCAGAACTTGTGTCTTTGTATGCTCACATACCATCATCCTCACCACCCAAACGAGCCCATGGAGACAATACACACACTAGGGACTCTGTATAGTCTCCCAGCAGTGCAGGGGACGTTCTCCAGCTAGAAGTGGAGCTTAAACAAAAGATATTCCTACCCGAAGAAAGCTGAAGTGACATGGTAACAGAAAGGGAGAAATAGCAGCAGAAACAGAAACATATACAAGTTTTCTGTTTCCCGTGCTAAATCGCAACAGCAAAATTAACTTTAGGATTTTAGCTCCACCTGGGTAATTCATTGCTTGAACTTGTGCAGCATGACAGGAACTTTATCACTGAAAAGTTGTTAATTATTTTTACGTGGAATAGCAACCCCAAATGCAACATAAAATTAATTTGTCTTCACATGTAGCCAATCAATCTGTTTTCACTCTGCCTCGCAATAAATCATATTAATCAGAACAGTACCAAGGTATTTTGTAACAAGTCAACGATAAGCACCCAGTGAACTCCTACCTCAATGAAAATGATTTTTTAATAATTAAGCCTATACAACAGATATCTAAGCCATTAATTACCTTATCCTATAAACTACAACACATGAACAAAATTTTGAATAAGCAGTATTATAATTTTATTCTAAGAAATTAGGATACTTTTGTGAGCCAGGTACACCCAGACTGCAACAATAAGTTGTAGGTATAATTCAGTGTATCTATCTACAATCTTCCATTTTTGACTACAAGAAATTCAAATTCATCTTTCCTCACATCTCCCACTGATTTCTTCATGAATGCTTTAGAGCTCACTATCTATGTTGTACAGTTAGCGTGCCTCTTCCTGTGCTCCCTTTTAAATCACTCTTAGCATTCTATCACAGATCTGCTTGCATCTCTCCTCCGCTTATACGCAGTCATGGAGAAGAAAAACCCTTTCCTTTTCTTGTTTCACCTCTCGCCACCAGGAGCATCTCAACACACGTGTGACTAATTATGCCTCTGCCCACAGGAAACAAAAGCATATCCACATAGCTGCAATAATGTAGCTACACCAATGTAAACTCTAGTTAGCTGCATGATGGAACTTCTACTACTTGACCTTACCAGCAAAATGTCACTCCTATTGTTGCAATGCTTCTGTGTTTTAAGACAGCCACCTCTTTATTTTTTTTCCACACAGTTCGACACAGACCGTTGCAAGAAACACGCCCACAGGTACAGTGGGGAAATACATGATGCCTTTTTTTTTAAATTAGCAGCTCCAGCTCTCAGCTCATACAATTACACAATTACTTAAGTCCTCTAAAGCATGAATGAGGATGTGACACTTTGAAGTAGCTAACATATGTACAGATACCTATTTCAAATCATGTTCTTTCACACAGAATCATTCTCGCTGTAGAGAGAACGGGGCGAGAGAGAACTAATCTACATCATTTCTCCCTGCATAAGCATCAATCCAGGCCTCATAAACTAAAGGAAGTTTTCACTTTGCAAGACGTGCCATATTCATCACTACAAGACAAAGAAGTGCTCAGCCAGACTTCTACCAGCAAAAGTTCACTCACCTAAACAAAATCCAAATCAGTTGCCTTTGGGATTTGCCTGCACTGCAGTTTCTCTTATGACTGCAGTATCATAAACAAACTGTAAACTGACTAAGCTAAGAAGAAACAACCACAGAGCCTAGTTCAAAGCATGCTCAGACAGTTGCAATATAGACATACTGCAAGACTCAAATTTTTAACCTTCGTAGTTAACTTACGTCAGAGAATCTCTTCCACACCAAAAATACAACCCAAATAATATCAAAACAATTAATGATTTATCACAGTCTTAAAGACTTATCTTAGTCATGATATACAAAGAAAAATATCAAGAAAAGAGCAAAAATACTGATTCCAATGAAGACTATGCCATGAACTCATATGAAAAGGAAAGAGAAAAACTCAATTCCAATGAAACCTAAGCCATAAACTGAGTGCCTAGTTTATATGACTGAACAAGACATTTAAATTATCTAGTTTGATTTTAGCAATTATAATTTGTAAAACAAAACTTCCTCTAAAATGATAAAGCTTATGCTGAAATAAGAGAGAATGGTACCTTCCAGTCTTTGAATTTTAGCTTTCACAGAAATAACTGTTTCAAAGGGGGAAACTCGCAGTTCAAAGCATGTTCCTGTCAGCGTTTCAATGAAGAGCTCCATAGTTTCATAAAAAGGAAGCTTGTAGTGAAATGGTCCCATATTATCTTCATTGAAAAAAGGTGGCTCTTTCTTGCTGGCCATTACAAAGGATTTACAACTTCCTTGTCAGAAGATTTGTCAGGAAACTACATTCCACTTCTAGCCAAGTCAGCTCTGAGGACAGGAGTGATGCATTGCTCTTCATGTTTGGGATTTTTCACCTATAAAGCAAACAAGCATAGTTCTAACACCATCTGAACGTACCTGTCAAAGAGAGTTTCAATTTATGCTTGAAAAACAATAAAAAATAGCTATGAAGAAGCACTAAATTACTATCCAGATCGTGCTACAGATAACTGCAAACGATATTAATAACATGGTGGTTTCAGGACTCTAACGGCACTGGGCATTCCAGGTCCTACCTACGACCGTTATTATTTTGTTTTCACGAGCAACGCGACAACCCGATCTGCGAGATCAGCGCCTCCAGAGCAAGGGCTGAGCCCTCGCCAGGGTCAGGGCTGGAGGAGGAACTCCAGGCAAACAGGGCCTCGCTCAGGGAAGGCAGAGGAGGACACGGCAGCCCCACCACG